TGCTGCGGTGCGTTCCGGGGTAATTGCCGCAAGGTTCAGAGCGGATTCGCAAAGATACACAAAGGGGAAAATGCGGTAGAAAGACTTTTGTCTGCTAGAATGAATGTTTGACTTTTTTCTCCTTGGGTGGCTCTCGGGGATGCGTGCTGTCAGATGCCGATTCGGGTCATAATCGAAGGGTAATTCGGTATGGGTTGTTGATGACTGGAATGGGCAGAGCCGAAGTATGGGGATGCTGGGTGATGAAGCTGAAGGGGGGGAGGGAACAGCGCAGAACGACAGCAACACACACAAAAAAAATCAAAAAAGGGCGATGCCGCCAAAGTGCAGCAACAGGTAATGGGATAGCGTTCCTGACGGCGGTCGTGGTGAGAAACAACAAGAGGGTGAACGGGACGTTGTGTTGTGATGCGTCGATGTGGTCGAGTGTTGTTTAAGGGCAGCGGGCGGTATGAGTTGACGTTGAGGCGGGGACTCGATGATTGGTGCGCGGAGGGGAAGAAGTAAACAAACAAGGAAGGCAGCTCTTTGTCGGTGGCGTTGCTCCTGGCGACCTTGTGTTTAGTGTGATTTTTGGCGTGACAGGGGTCGATAAAAGACCGGGTACGTACCTTTGACGGGAGAGTTGGGACGAGGGGTTGTTGGCAAGCCGCAGGCGGCAGCAGGCTTTTTCGAAGCCCAGCATCCAGCCAGACATCCACCCCATCCACCAATCCAGCCAGCATCCAGCATTCAGCATGGCAAGAGATGGGAAAATGGGCCACTGGGGAGAGGGGAACGGCCGACGACCGGGGTGGCTTTGGGCGGGTGTCTGCTGCACGTGCCCACTCTTTCTGTGACGCTGCTCAGCGGTTTACGATGCAATCTCAAGATGTATTCAAGCGAGCAATAGCCAATGGCTGTTCATGGTCTATGCCTTTGATGCCGAAGACGACGAGTTACTGTGGAATACGGATACCTAGGGAACAAGATGCCTACTCTAGAATTATCTATCCAGTCTTGATCGTCAGCCACTGCTACGGCGTCTGCAGGGAGAGAGACTAAAGGCAAGCCAGAAAAGCAAGCATCCGAGGCGAAAGAGGGGAGCCACGGGCAAGAAAAGGAAGGACAAGAGAAGAGAGAGGAGAATAATATTCATCAACAACAACTTGATTTTCGTTTCTGTGCGCGCAAGGACTGTGCAGCACTGCATGTACGGAGTGCTGCTTATGGCCCGAAACCATCAGGCTTACTCTCCATCTCATGCTTGTCCGGCTTCCCCCCCTCGTCAATGTTGTTGTTGAACCATGATAATTCTCCGGGCCAACAGCAGCTGAGGACATGGGTTCTTGCAGCTATTGCAGTCCATGGTCAAGTCATCGTGATGGCTTACTTACCCAGTGCTCCGTACCAAACGTCAGAGAAGTCGAGACCTTGCCCTTGACCTAGACCTGGGAAGCCCACGCTTGGTTCCCGCATGTCGTGCTTCTCTCCATCACATCGTATCGCACAATCCCATCAGATGGTGGGTTGAGTGGGCTCTGGGCATTTTAGCCCGTCGGCTGGATATCGATATGGAGCTCGTTGTTGCTTTAGACGTTCCCCCTCTGCCCGTGCTCGCCAGGGGTGGGCTGTGTTATGATTTCTCGTCATCCAATGTCACTCTGGGTTACCAACACAACAGACGGAAGACAAGAGAAAGAAAGCTGTTGTTGTTATCGAGCTTGCGGCCTGTACTCGGCTTTTCTGGCTGCCATTGCTTGTCCATGCAACTTGCCATAGTTTTTTTTTCCTCCCCATTGTTATTGTTGTTTTGATGTGTGCTCTTCTTTCTCAATTGCTGATTCGTCTGTATTGATTCGTATACAATTACTCGAGTCTACAAGTACTTTGCATGTGTGTGTATAAAAAAACGAGAAAGATCGTCCGCCGCGCCCGGACTTTGCTCCTAAGAGCTGCACCGTCTTGTCCCCGCCCCCGCCGGCGCAAAGCCATTTTTCGCGAGAATGCCGTCCCATTGTGCAGCGCAATTGACTTCCTGGTGGTCCTGCCTGTCAAGTGTGATCCACGTATCCTCCCCCTCCAGGCTTCTCCTCATCCTCCTCCTTCCTCCTCCTCATCTTCCGATCGAGTCCACAAGAGCCAGGAGCACCTGCTGGCCCCCAAACACTGCGCAATATCCTGGCCCCTCCCTCCTCTTCAGCCCCAAGAGAGGAGCCACGACGAGGAGGAGCGACAGACGAAAGAGGGGCCAAACAACAACAGACTTTCCGATCCGACGCACACCATCGTGCAGGGCACGCAGGGCATCTCTTCATCATGTACGATTCGATGCAATGTGCATACATATGTACGTAAGTTTATCTCGCAAGAAAAGCCGCGCCCCCCGGGTCCCATCGGCACGCGAGAGCGAGAAAAACCTACCTATCCTACTCTACTCGTACCTGCAAAACTAGAGAGGAAAGAGGAGACGTTGGGACTAGTGCCTGTCTGCGCCGACATCGTGCGTTTTACACCAGCTCCATGAGTCCATTATGCGTGTTTTATTTCTTTGTGCTCGCTTCTTCTAGCGCATCTGCCCACCGTTGCTTCGTCACACTGGCTGAAACAACATCGCCGCTCGCCTCCAGCTAAGTTGCACGGCCGCCGCGCCGGATGTGACGCCTGTCATCCCAGAACAAGTGTTGGTTTGATTGTTGGGTATGGGCATTCGACTTTTTGATTTTTTTCCGACGATTACTGAGATTTATTCCACTCAACACACTCCTCCAACTTGACCCCGTTGCCGCCGAAACAGTCCAGCGCGCTACCAATCGTCAGGTCCACCTTGCCCTTGCTCAGCTTCTTCACCATCTCCAGATCCTCCAGGTTCCTGCCGCCGCCGGCGTACGTCACGGGCAGACTGCACCACTCGGCCAGTCTCTCCACCAGCTTCTCGTCGATGCCCTTTTGCAGACCCTCGTTGTCTGCTGCGTGGATAAGGAACTCTGAGCAATAGGGCTCCAGCTGCTTGATGGATTCTGCAACACACAGTCAATCAGCCAGCCATGTGACATCCACGCACTTCGTGTCCATCAAACAATGCCGCTAGAAACATACCTTGATTGACCTCCATGTCTGTGATCGTCTGCCACTTGTTCATGGCCACAAACCACCTGTCATCTCCCCGCCGCCGGCAGCTTAGGTCAATGACAAGCTTGTCCCTATCGCCTCCCAACGCCTGCAGCACCGCATCCAGCCTCTCCTGACTGAATCGTCCCTCGGGGAAGAGGTACGACGTGATGATGACCTTCTCCGCGCCGGCGTCAACCCACTCCTTTGCGTTCGTGTCGTTGATGCCTCCCCCAACCTGCAACCCGCCGGGCCACGCCTTTAGCGACTCCCGCGCGGCCTCGGTGTTGCCGGGCCCCAGCATGATGACATGGGCGCCTGTGAGCTCATTGTCTTTGTACAGCCGCGCAAAGTGCGCCGGCGGGTGCGTCGAGACAAAGTTGGTCTTGAGCTCGGCTGTTGTACTGTCGAGGGTGCCGCCGACGATTTGCTTCACCTGACCGGCGTGCAGGTCTATACAGGGGCGAAAGCGTGTCATTTTTGTATGTGTGTTGGTGTATACTCTAGTGGTTTGAAGAAGTTCTATCAACTCGAGTTCCACGGCTGCGTCACTGCTCGACCCCTCCTGTTCAATTTTGTGTGGATGGTGGGGTTGCGATGTCGGTGCAAGGCTAACTGCCGTTCTCTTGTTGTGAGGTTTCAGGCTAGTTTACATCACTTGAATCCAGTCAATTGGAGTGACCAATTCAAATGCCTATTTCTCGAGACCGTACTTTGAATTTGCATTATGTTTCAATACCGTTTCCTCGATCTGCGAGGGAAAATCCGCAGGGACGTTCGTAGAACGTGTTAAGCCGGTACTTCCTTCGGTCCAGTCTTGACCGGCATTGACCCAAATTCAACCCCAAACTCAGGCTTTCGAGCTAATGCTGAAAAAAACAGAAACCCATTCACTTTCTGAAACAGAAACAAAGAACCAGACATATTGGATTCCGATAACTTTAAGAGGATCTCCTTCTCGGTGCAGCGCGAAGCCTTCTGAGAGGGAATCAGGTGGATTTCGCTGCCACGGCGACCCTAACGATACTAGAGCCCTCAACTGGAAATATCCTTCAACAAATCCGGCTGTGTGTTCTAGTGGTTATGATTCCTCGTTCACAATGTGAACACTTGAACTCCGAGGAGGTCGCAGGTTCGAACCCTGCCGCGGTCACAGTAACTTACTCTTTTGCTTTTTGGATGGCTTCCATGTCTATTTTGCTAATTCGAATCCTTTCACTCGGTTTGGCAAGTGGAATGAATGCCTGTTGTTGCAGCCTGATGAGAATGGGCGTGTATGCAAGCCCTCCTGGCAGAGGCAAAGCATACTTATTACGAGACTATGTGTCAACGTCGCCTTGGCACCACGACTTGTTGTGAACTTGATGGATTTGTGGCCTTATAGGCCAAACGCCTTCAGCTGCTGCATCCTGAAATAACCATCCGACAACTCGAATCAATTGTGCCGTCTTGTTGCAGCCTGCGGTCATCAATTCTTAGACGAGGCCCAATCACATTTCGGTATTGTCATCCTACGACTTCATACATTCAAGACCTGCAGAATTGGAGATGGATGGAAGCAACAGGCGGCCAATGAAAGCAAAGCCCGGATTTCCATCCCCGATATTCGTGGTTTGTCTGGCTGAGGCATGGGCAATGGGCTATGTCTGCCGTGTCGCCAGAAATGCACCGCCATGCTGATAGTGTTCCGTCTCTGAACCGCTACATACTTGTACTTCTACTATAGCCATACTCCTTCTCCTCGAGAGGAGTGTTTATATAGCCATATCAGCTTGTGATTAGACGAAGAACCGATACCTGCGAATGTGACACCTCTCTCGTCTCTGCTGAAACTCTTCGCATCACCCGCAGATACAGGAAAACCCATGTATATACCACGAAAGCCCCTCAACAATGTCGCAAACACTGCAATGGCACCCGAATACGCAGTTAATGTAGACAGTGAGCCTTTACACCAGCCTCAAACTGCATACTCGGCCTCAAACACCAAACCCATCGACGAGTCTACAACCGAAACTACAAGCCTCACCTCCAACAGAGCCAAGCCAAAGAAATCCAAGGTAGCCACCAGCGAGTACAGTTGGACGCTGGAGATATGGGCACTCGTTCTCAGCATTGCGGCTCTAGTCACGGCTACTGCCCTTCTATCAGCGTACGATGGGAAGCCACTGTCACAATGGGCGTTCTTCTTCACTTTTAACACAATAATCTCCATCTTAGGCACGGTGTCTAGAGTCAGTCTAGCATTCGCTGTTGGCGCCTGCTTGAGTCAAGGAAAATGGAACTTGTTCAGGCGCAAGGACGATTACATGATCAGTTATGATCGGTTCGAGGAAGCAGGACGCGGCCCCTTGGGAAGCGCCCGGCTTCTGTGGCGCATCAAACACAGGTAGGTCGATTCCCTCTACGTGTGATACCGCTCAGCTAAATGTCATGTCCTAGGCACTGGGTGTCCCTTGGTGCCCTGGCAACCGTCGTCCTGCTCGGATTTGAACCGTTTCTCCAGGCTGTTGTCGAATTCTACGAGAAGGAAGTCGACTCATCAGAGGTGGACGCCGTCGCATCCATCGGCACGACAAAGAGACTCGACGTCGGCAAGGCAGGATTCAGCGGCGACACACCTCTCCAGTCCATCCAAATGCCGGAGCCATATACTCCTGTATCCGTGGAACCAATGTTTCTCGAATACGACTTTGGCTCGCTCTCCGCCATCTGGACGGGGTTCAACAATCTCAGCACCCCCAGCAGTCAGCAGCCCTCCTTCACCTGCGCCACGGGAAACTGCACCTGGGCCCCGTATGCCTCGTTGGCGGTGTGCAGCGCTTGTAACGACATTTCCAGCCACTTGGTGAAGTCCACGGGCATCGCTGACGCTTCGGACAAGGCTCTCACGGTGCCCTGGTCGATGCAGAATGCGAGACTGAACACGAGCGATAAGTTTGCTTACACCAAGTTTGAACTGCCGGCAATGAACTTGAACATATCCAACTTCGATGACGGTAGCGGGCAGCAGGTCGAGCTCACGGCGCAGACCACGACGCAACCTGGGGACACGCTCTCCTTCCAGAACACGAAGGCTCTAATCGTCTCCTTCGCCATGATGAAAGCGAGGGTGAACGCTGCAGGAAGAAAGGATGTAGCCCCTGGAGCCAGGGCTCTCGAGTGTGCCTTGTCGTTCTGCACAAATGTCTACCGCTCGACCGTCACAAAGGGCATCCTGAAGGAAGAGGTACTCGGCTCATACTCGATTCGCAACCTCGACTCTTTCTCTTACGCCTTATCTTCGTCACCTAAAACTGCGGAAAAGATTAGGGTGTACAACAAAATGTCGAATTACACCCTCGACTTCCACTCGGTGGGTGACATGCGGCGAACGGATCTACAGCTCACCCTACCGCCCGGCGACGATGTCGTCGCGTCGATGGGCCAGGAAGACGAGCTATGGTTCAATATATCCCAAGCCACCGCGGCGACAGTGTCTAGTGCCTTTGTGGAGAAGTTTGCAAGACGCTCCGGTTCGGTGGCGTTGAAGCAGCTCGTCTATCCGACCTTTGAACTGCTCGAGCCTGAACAGCCTGCTGTGATCTCGACCCTTGGCACATCGCAGAACCTGTCGTCCACGTTCGAAATCGCTGCTCTCGGGATGACCAAGTGGATGCGAGACGTCTCGCTCCAGACCGCGCCTCACCGCGGGACGACCAGAGAGTCGGTGGTTCACATACGTGTTCGATGGGCATTTATATCGCTCCCTTTCGGCGCGCTCCTCGGTGGATGCCTGTTTTGCTTGTTCTCGGTGGTTGAGACTAGGAGGCTACGACTCCCGGCCTGGAAAGGTAGCTCGCTGGCGGGGTTGACGCATGGGCTGGATGCTGAAGCTAGGGAGCAGCTCAGAGGGGCGGAAAACATTTCAGAGCATGCTAAGCGTATCAAGATCAGAATGATTGATTCCGTGTCGGGGCCGGAGCTAGCCTTATGCGACAGTGCGGATTCAGTAGATGAGGCTGATGGAGACGAACATCGAGGAACGGGTCGTTCTCATAGTCAACAATGTGGCACAAATGATAGGTAGGCACGGATAGCTACCGTTCCAAAATGAAGATAGAACTCGGTTTATCGTGATTCTAAAACTCCATTTTTTGGTCGAAATTTGGCATACAACCAACGAGCAGACACCACATCAACAGCGGTCAAGCATCTCCATGGCATCCACAACCATAAAGCACACTTTTCTGAAGGTTGTCAGATTTCCCCAGGACCGAGTTCTATTCGTCTGGCATCAAGCATCATGTGCTAGAATGGCTCTTCATGAACGTAGCGGTAGCCTGACTCAATATTCCCACGCCTTGCAAAGGCAAGGGCGGTGATAGAACCGTACAAAACGAGACACCATCCTCCCGCCCTTAAAACTGAAAATTGGCTGTTTTGACAAAAAAAGAGGCCTTCAACAAGAATATGAATTTCTCTCGACGCACTCAAACGCCATCTCTCCCTCCAATATAAGGCAATGAGGAGAAATTTACTTGGAATGGAAAACCAAGGAGATTTCACAGCGCAAGACATAAGAGCAAACAACGTCGAATCGAAACGACTAAGTTACGCTAAACTATCCTTCGCCATTCAGGCAAAAGACACACAGACACATCTGAAAGGAATATAAAATTCAACTTCCGGCGTGATTGCCCATCCGCCGCTGGGAATATGCGTTGCAGTTTTTGTATCCCATTATGGGGTACCTGGATGCTGATAAAGTTAGTGAGCACCACGACTAGATACCTTTTATAAGCTATTTGGGTAGCCAAAGGTCACACCTAGCCACGTCTTGGCACCTCCTGCGCTCTCGAAGACCACCTTTTATAGCATATACCGTGTAGTATACGTATGGGCGCAACAAGGGACATGCATGGTCAGCGGCTTCTCGCTCTACGCTTTTGCCGAGGCGAAGGTGTCTCTCAACGTGCCTCGGAGAATCTTCTCCCCCAGAGTTCTAGCGGCAGCCCAAAAGCTCCATGATGGACCAGAACCACCACCTAGCCTGGGTCATTCGTGGACCGAAAGGCGAGCCGCTGGTTTCAATAAGATAGCAGAAGGTCTGGTGAGGCGAAGGGGCCTCTCCCATTTGTGGCTTACGCGCAAGGCTTCAAAATAACACATCTTGATGTGTGCTTCAGTCCAACAATTTGGCAGAGCAAGACTGTCATTTCGAGGAGTATGTTGTTCTCAGAAGAGAGGGGTATATTATTCTAATCGTCTATTTTTTCCCGTTGTGCTTGACCAACTCTTCGCCACCCTTAACCGGCAAGCAACTTATCATCAGTCTCCAGAACTTTTTCCTGAACACTCTGATCCTCCTTCTCCCCATTCTTCTTCACCTCCTCCTCCTTGCCCTCCTCCTTTGCCGCCTCCCCGTTCCCAGCAGCCTTCAACTTGGCCTTATCCTTCTTACTCAACGACACCGCCCCCTTCGCCATAGCCTCCTTGGGCAAGGGCCGAATAATCGGCTGCACAACCCACCAAGGCCTCTTACACCTCTTCACCGCGCCCCTCGAACTCTCCCCATCCTCCTCCACGACCTCCGCGGCATCGGCCTCCGGGCCCAACACCTCGTCACCCGCAAACATCTCCGCGCCCCGGGCCTCATACTCAATCAGCCCCTCTGCAACCTTGCGCTCCACCATGCTCAAGATCCTCTCGTACGCCTCCAAATCGCCCGCCCGGCTCCGCGCCAACAAGTCCCGCACGTCTGTGTGCTTCGACACGAAGTGCCGCAGCAGGTGAAACATATGCGGCTGCATCGCAGAGTAATTCGGGCTCAGCGCCCGGCTCTTGGCGGATTTGGGCCCGTTGGTCACGTCCCGCCTCCTCTTCTTCCGCTCCGGCTCGTCCTGCTCCGCCTCCGCGCGATCCATCTCCTCCATCCACGCCGTGTCGTCACCGGGCACAAACAGCTCACGCCGCGAGGGTGGGTCCTGGCCCGCGGCGTACTTGTGCAGGATGTCCATGTACCGCCTCATCACCGCGTCAACGCGGTACCCGCCCTTGCCATCTTTACCGCGCCAGTACTCCCTCGTCTCGGTCCCCGGGTCCGGCGGCCGGCTGAAGATGGCCGGGTCACTCAGGTTCCCCTCGGCGCTCATCACGCCGTCCGCGCCCGTGGCATCCAGCGCGCGCTGCAAGTCACTGTGCTGCAGTATGTTCCCGTTCGCGAACAGCACAGTCTCAGGCGGCAGCTGGCCCCTCAACCACCGAATGGTCTCCCAGTCCGCCAGGCCCGTCAAGTGTCCCTTTTGCTCGCGCAGCCGGCCGTGGACCGTGAGGATGGACGCGCCCGCCGCGAGCACGTTGCGCGCGTACGCCAGCGTCGCGGCCCTGGTGTCGAGGATCCGGATCTTGGCCGTCACGGGGATGGGCAGGTTCTTGTGCAGGGTGTTGATGAGCTTGAAGATGAGGTCCTGGTCCTCCTGCAAGAAGGCGCCGTATTTTCCCTTCTTGGCGATGCCTTGCGGGCATCCCAGGTTCAGGTCCACGGCGTCGCAGTAGGGCGCGACCTTGAGGGCGGCGCCGAGGAGGGCATCGGGGTCGTTTGCGCAGAATTGCACAAAGAGAGGTCTGTCGATGGCGGGGTTGCCGTCGAGCCAGGGCTTGGTCGTCGGAGTCGGGTTCGTCGGGGTCGCAGCGGTGCCAGTCGCATCGTTCGAGTCGTCGGGTCTGACCGCTTGGAAATGACACTGGCGGTAGTTTTCTGTGTCTTTGTACAGTCGCGCATGGAACATGGGTGTGTAGGCCACTAGGTTCTTCTGCTCGGACGCTGGGATGAACGACCGGCTCAGCATTCGCCATGCCTATAGAAGGCCTTTAGCAATCCCGCTCCCAGACAATGCCTCTCCGCTCCACGAGCTTTTGGGGGAGAAGAGAAAGGGTGGGGGAAAAAACCTACAAATTCAGATTGATCCACCATGGGTGCGAGTATGTACTTTGGACTTCCGATGCTCTCATAGAATGCCCGCCCGTGCAGCTTCGGTCTGATCACGGCCGGTGCCGATGTTCCAGCTTCAAGCCCCGCGGTCGGGGCCTCTGTCGTTGTCGCCATGCTTCTCGTCGAGGTCAAGAATCGGGCGAACCGGGTTGTCTGAGACGTCCGGAGCCTCCAGAGCTTGAGAAACCCCTCCAGAATTTCGACTGTAATTGTAGATAAAAGAAGGGAAAAAAAAAAACTTGATGACTTGGCGGTCCAGTTTGATATCGCACGCTCGACCGAATCTCGCCTTGACGTCTACTGGAACTCTTTGCCTCGGCTTGCGATGGCAGAAATTTTTGGTTGAGCCTTGCACACTAACAGAGTGCGAGGCTGAGAAACCCCAGATGGGAAACTCTACCTGATTGGGTGGGGTCATTGGGCCCAGTGTTTCCCCCACGCATGGAACCTAGGGAACTGCGAGGGAAAGGGGAACTGTCATCTACAGCAAATGACGTCGTCCCGCCGATCAAGGAGAAACGTTCTGCGGAGACGAGTACCGTAAAAACTCGAGCACTTCAAACTTGCGTTAGCCCGTGCTCCCGCTGTCTTACTTACCTTCTGGCCAATACGTGCCTCTATTCAGAGTCAAGATCTGAAAACGTGGCGGAGATCAGCGAGTTTTTGGTACTGAGAGAGGCTTAACGTGAAGAGTGCACGGGCTAACGCAAGTTTGAAGTGCTCGAGTTTTTACGGTACCTGATACTGCGGCTTCTCAAGGCTCATCTAGCTCTAGCACTGAGACGGTGTGTCAGACCATTCATGACACACGCAACCCAACAAAGGATTGCTTGCGTAGGACGGGACTTTTCACATGCAAACTTTTCACTATGCGCACTCGCCCTAGTCCGCTCTAAACTATTCAATTCGCTGGAGCGGTCGATACCAGCATCGAGACCTCGCTGAGACTAAGCTGTTCTTTTGGAAGAAAAAAGCCACACTCTATTCCGCCTCCTCATGACCCGACGAACTTTGAAGGCGACGTAACTCGAAGAGAACCGACAGGTAACGAAAAGTCCTTTAAGCCCTTACAAAACAAATATCGAAACACTAAACCTCAATCGAGTGTCAGGTGTGTGTATGTGTGTGAGTGAGTGATGCCATCTTTTCAGAAATCCGCATCTAAGTCGTCAGAGGACTTGGGCCCATCTGAAAAAGTGTAAGAGGTCACCGCTATTATCGCCATCATGTCCTCGAGGTCCGTGTGATTGCTGCTCAAATGCAAAGAGGCCATCGGCCCGTAATCTGCACTGACTGGCCTGCTGCAAGGCTGTCCCGTCCGGCCGCCGTCTTCGTATACCTCCCCGCCCATTGAGAAAATAGTAAAAAAAAAAAAAAAAGAATTAATCGACAAAGGGCGGCCGGGCAAGGCTTCTCAGTCAGGCAAGAAAAATGCTGTCGAGTGACGATAGTAAACGCCCTGACACCGTACGATGCTGTTCCTGAACGCCTTCGAATGGTAAATGTAGTTCAAATACATGATTGAGGGTTTGGTGCCCGTCATCAAGAAGCAAAAGTGGTGAGATTCCGTCTTGCAGGCGTAGCCGTCGTTAGAAGAAGTGTGTGTAAATCTTGGAGTTTTCGTGAACTTCCATTTCCTGTAAGCAGTTAGCGATGCATCCCCACCTGTGATGTCAAGATCAGCACGTACCATCTTGAATGTGTTGAGCTCCTCCTTGATCTGCTGGGCTAGCATCGGCGTCAGGCGATTGCAGGTAGCAATTTCGCCCCTACGATCATATTCGCCGCTAGGCCAAGTGTCGTGGAAGACGATTCTCGGCGAGAAAGTTGCGTTCCTCTTGGCGGAGCCTGAAGGCGTACCTGGGGCACTCTTGGTGTCCTGGCGAAGCCTCAAAGCAGTCATGAAATAGTCTTCGTTACCGATGGCGACAGATCCGGAACGCTTATGGCCCTGAGCGTCATCATTTGGCGTGCTGGGTGCGGTTGAGATGGGAGAATCAGCGACATTCGGGATCGCGGGCAACTCGAAGTTGGATCGCGGGTCGCGAGCAGGGCTGCCTGATCTGTTGTGCTTCAGAATGCCTTTCCTGACAGCAGCAAGCACCTCGGCACGCTCCTTGTCACCATCGACAATGCTCTTTCGCCTCGCGCTGTCGGTACCTGAACTTCCAGCACGTTCCGAAACCATGCTAGGGGTGTTCGAAATATCCAAGGAGTTGCGTTCCAGATGAGGAAATCCAGTGCCGCCGCCGTTCTGTGCATGAGGATCAGCGTTAACATTGACTCTCTCAGCTTCAACGGTAACCATGGACACGGCAGCCTGGCTGGCTTCTGGGGCCAACGCATCTGCTGCCGGAACGCCAATAACGGACTTTGGCCGGAAGAGACCAACGAGGTTGCGAGTACTCTTTTTCATGCCACGACCCATCTTACGGATCATGATTGAGGCAGACGATGCGGTGGACGAAATGGAGAGGTTGTCGGTCGAGCTGGAAAATAGCCTTCCGCCATAGATGTTGTTCCCGATGCCCCCTTCCTCCTGCTTCTTGGCGATGGCGGCCTGTTCTGCATCGTAAATTTCGGCCGCTGTCGGCTCCTTGTGCAATCTGGTGGGATCAGACACACTATTTTCGTCGATAGTAGATTCAGGTCCGGAGGCCTTTTTGAAATCGGCCGCGCTACCAAACGAGAAAGCTCTGCGCAATCGCGATGTCTTGCTCTTAGATTTTGTACTCTTCTGGTTAATCGCAGCCAAATGCTGGGCTGCGGGGCTGCTAGCGTTGTTGCTGTTGGACGCAGTCGTGCTCTGAGACAAGACCTGTTGCGGAGCATTGCCCAGAGAGGAAGGTGGTTTTTGGGGACTCGAGTCGGTCGCCATGGTCACCGGCTTTGAGAGAGGAGAGGGAGTAGACTGCCTCTTGGCCGCATCTGACGATGAGCTACGTGGAGGAATATTCACGATTTTAGGATAATCTTGCTTCGAAGAGCCATCATCCAAGTGTGAAGGAGTTGAAGAGGAAGAGGGGTTGCCCGTGGGGGTGGGTACGCTGCGGTTGGCAGACTGGTGGAAATAACCTTGTTAGCGATGGAACACTCGAGGATGGCTGGGCCAGTGCGTGATTGGGCAATCGAATGAAGGGGATGAGGCGGAGACAGAGCGCCTCCAGCGACACCGCAAAAACCGGGAGTGACGACTTACCGAAGATGGTCTGGAATGGCTGCTGCGGCTCGATGCAAGGCTTTCAGCGCTGCCATTGCGGACATGCATGTTGTTGTCGGCGGGAGGTGCAAGACTGGAGACGATGCGAAGTGTCTTTTCGCTGTTTTTGGGAGTTGGCACGCGGTCGGAACGGGAGGAATCTTCCGGGTGAGAGAATTCCTGTGGGGTTAGCGGCTTGGGATAATCGGCAGAATCAAGCGAGTGCATGCTGCGCCGCCTGAGTCGCTTGCTGTCTTCCACACTTTGTTGTTGACTTAATTGCATGTCATCAACCGCACCATAATAACTGTTTGGTCTGCTCTGGAAAGACGGGTTCCGGCCTCGCACTGACGCGTTCTTTTGCTCATCATTGTACAAATGACTAACAGTCGCCATGCCTGAGCCTGACGGGGCGCTAGTCTGGCGAGGTTGTTGTTGCTGGAGAGCCGGGCGCCGGTACCTATCAGGCGTCGTCTTAGTCCCAGCGGTCTGAGCGAATGTCATTTGCTGTGTCGTGTTGCCTGCCAAATACGCCGACTGAGGCCTCGGGGCCTGTGAATTTGTGCGAGCAGTAGGAATGCCCGAATCGTCCCTCGAACCTCCTTTGCTAGTCCCCATGCCGTGGTTGTAGCCAACGTTTGATACTGAAGAGCTTCCTCCGTGACGCGCGCCTTGCGTCGGCACCGCAGGTGAAGATGCCGTGCGATATCCGTTGCCATATTGCTGCCACTGGTTGTTGGTGTTCAAACTCGGGGTGCTGGTGAAAGCGTAAGGCTGAATTGGGGCATTACTACCGCGATACACGGCGGAACCTGAAAAGTTCCTCTGCGACTGTTGAGCAGCCATGTATTGCTGGTTCGCCTGGGCCTGTGTTGGGACCATGTTGCCTGAGGGTCTCGACTGGAGAGTGGTAACAGTGGTGGTCTGCTGGGGGTACGTTTGAACCAGCGCGGCCATATTCCAAGGAGCCGTCGAGAGGAAACAGTGGCGAACAAGCAAGTCCTTCACCGGTCCTATGTTCGGGCAAGTGGCTCGAGTTCGAATTACGGCTAGATTGTCTTACTCCAAGGGAGAGCGAAGACAGGTGATAACGAAGCCGAGCGGTATGCTGGCCGGATCTGCAGAATACTGAATGAGGCAGGCAAGTTAGCAAGGCTCTTTCCACTCGAGTTTGATGTCAGCATCAGACTCTCAGCAGGCCAAGCGGATGACTGGCTACTGTCATACGTATGACACGACAGGAAAACGGCCGCCGGCAACGATCAGAGTCGAGTCGAGGTACAAATCCAACGAACCTTTTTTTGCTTTCTCTTTTATACGAAGGTAGGAAATGGAAGAATGGTTATTCTGTCCCAAAAACGACTGACTTCTTTCTAGAAAGAAGGATGCTGTGGTTGGAAACAGATAGCGATTGTGGAAACGAAGGTCGCCTGCGGCCAGGGGTTACAGCGAGAGTATCGTCGTACTGAGAATAAAGATGATGGTTCGCGTCTACTGCGAAGGGGCTGTTGGAGAGCACTCGTACGGGACGATGTAGAAATCGACCAAAGGGAGGCAGGATCAAGTGTCACCGAGACAACTCGAAGCAAGGCTAGCAGTCGACCGGGAACATGGAGATGTGAAGCACTCGTATCCGGCTCGAAATCGTAGCTAGAGAATCGTCGGGGACGGGATGAGGTGGTGACGAGTCAGCCACGCAAACCTGAAGCTCGTCTTGTGTTCGGGTTTTGAGATGGAGGGTGTATCGAGATCTCGGGTCACAAAAAGAAGAAGTTGCAGTCGATCAGCGTGGAGAGAGTGCGGTTTGTGTTTGTCTGTTTTTTTTTCGGTTGCTTTCTTTTCTTCCTTGTTCTCGGAAGGACGAACGGGCGACACGTGGAAAGAGAAGAAGGCGGCAGTAACGGAGATGCAAAGTGCGATTCGGGGTTGGCAACGAAGAGACGGGGGAAGAGAAGATGGATCCAAGTCGGGAAGGGGACCCTGAGAGTCAGGCAACCTCTTGGGAATTCCGTTAATTGTTTTGGGGGGGAGGGAAAAGGGGGTACGTTGGCGATGTGGGTTGGGATTTAGGGGAACGACGGTGCAATTGGGGGCAGAGAGGCGGCGGATGGGGGAAGAATAGAAGGAAGAAGGGGGAACGAAAGGGAAGAGAAGAGAGGGGATACAGAGAGAGCAAGTCGGGTGTGGTGAGAGGGAATTCCCAGGAAGAGAGGAGGAGGAGAAGGAGGTTTCTCTCAGGCAAAATGGCGGTTCGGGGTGGGCAGGCGCAGGCAGTGAAGGGTCGAAATGGAGATTGCCAAATGGGAAGGTTTTTGGTATCGTACCGATGGCCCATGGTGCTGCATTGGTCTGCTGGAGCCAGGCGACGATGGAGTTCCACTTTCCTGGAGACCATACTGCGTATACAGTACTCCGTACCTAGTGCAGGAAATGGATCATCAAAGTACCCGCGCCGCCCATTCATGCGGATAGAGATACATGCGCTTGCTTGTAAATGCACAATCCACCACGGCCTTGATCCTAGGCAGGTCCCCTACCCTTGATCTCATGTACCCTGTGTTTTCGTTGCGGCAGACTGGGTGCCCCGGCCCAACGCCATCGTATCTAACTGGTCCAGTCTAGTATAGTCCTGCAAGTGCGGTCCAATGTACGGATACTTTTCTCTCCTAACCATCCGTAGTACGTTGAGGAACATTTCAGTGTCCTACATGCTCGCTGCCTTTTCACAATTTGACCCTCAACTTCCTACAGTGCCTGCTTCTAGGAATGAAAGAATAAGCAGTCTACACAGAACAGACTATGTCAACATGATGGGTAAAGTGTCAGTTGTGCTTGCTTCATCGCGATCTCAGATAAGATATCACAAGGCTGGCCATCAACGTAGCTAAGGTATCGGGGACTTGGCTGATGAGAGGTTCAGTTGCTGTGGACTCAGGAGAGCTCCTGCCATGTATCAATGAACTCTGGAAGGTATGTAGGAATCGAGGTTAAGCAGCCATGTGTGAGACTGTACCTACCCTTCCACTTGTTGTTCTCCTGCTTCTCCATAATACCTACACACAGGGCGGACCCCCCAAATCCCCTTCGAAAACAACCCAAACAGGAAAGGCCAGGACGCGTCCCTTGGTCTCCTGGGAAGGACGTGAGGACGTATTCCTACGCAGTGGGTGGCTTGGAGAATTTTGGCAATCTGTCATTGGGTGGATGAACGAAAAGCGGCGAATCACGACCACGCTACCCCTTGCTCCTGGGCGACTGGAAATGCTCGCCGCGCTCAGAATGCCACGAGTGCCTCCTTCCTGTGTGCCTGGTGTCCCGAATGAGGAAGCCCCAAGGGATTCGGGAAACAACAAAAACACAACCATAACATTCAATCCACCACTTACCGTGCCGGTCCACCAATGTCGCGCCCGTCCCTGCCTATTCACTGCTACCTCGTAAACGTAGCGTACGGGTAAGTAGGTAGGCACGTAAGCTACCCCTTGAGGCTTCAGCATCGCCAAAGAGATGGATGGGCACAGGTGCCAAAGCAAGAGCGCTGCAGATACGACCACCTCATACTCCCTACAACTTTTGAATACCTAGCAGCACGCTCAACATGGTCATCTCAATTCTTGTACATGCAGAGAACAACACCGTTACCTGCAACCGCCATTCCCACGCGGCACCGGGCAGAGGTCCGGGCACTGTCAGATGAGAAAGATGGGATGCTCGAGCTTCAAACCAAAAACCCAAAGACCCAAAGATGCAACACCGCTTCGGAGACTTGTTCAACGCGCAACGTCGATCCATCGCGCGTCAAACAAACGTCCAAGGAGGCGGAAACGAAACACCTCAACGTTCGCGCTCCAAAGCTCGCCCGGGCTAGGTTATCTGACCTCACACTACCGAGTCTTCACGGTAGCCGTACGCCTCTTCAGCCTCCCTCGCCAGAGGACCCTTACGCTTGGTACACGACAGCACTGGACGCAGTATGGATGTACAGGCTACCCAAGCAAGTCCTCAAGTGCTGAAATCAAGCACAGAGCCAGTTCTTCGGGATTGATGCACACACCCACACCCAAACCTACTGGGCTCCAGAGTCCTACTACGTACACGATGGGACGAAATGCAGATTCTCCGGCTCGACCAATGTCATCAGCCCATCACCAGATCCCACCAAGGAACGCATGTATACTACCTACTTAGATTCTTTCGCACTTTTCTGGACCGTCTCTGGATTCACCAGCTAGAGTATCTACCTAGCTTGTCGATGCATCTCTCGGCGGACTAGACGACAGACCGCCACGGCGGTACAACAACATGCCTCGCCAACACTCCCGGCCAATCACCATCTGGTTCGCCTCAATCTTGTCTCTGGAGCTGTCTCTCCCCCTTCTACAGTGCAGGCTGCGGCGCGAGTGCAGTCGTCAGTCACCGGTTACGTGTGATAATCGGCGGATACGAAGGGGCAGAAAGGAACGCTTCTCCGTATTCAACTTGACAAAGTACCCCACCATGGTGGCTTTGCCATGCTAGAGATGGTGAGGTAATGCTACCTGCATATCGGAAGGGATGGCGTCCCCTGTTTTCGACAGGGAAAAAAATTGCAGGGCCACTTCACAAGCCTGCTCTGTCCACCCTCCGCCTCCCACCCCACGAGCAAGAGACAAGGCCAATTCGTTCGACGGGAGACTGGAGCATACTGGAGTTGTTGCCGCCGCCGCACTTGATCCGAAAGGCCTAGGCGTCCGGGTGGTCACCGACAAGGGAGACATGAGATGGAGGGGAAGAAGCCGTTCGTGATGGACTCCGCAGCTTGGCGACATCAGCAACACCCTATCAATAAACCCGGAAGACTTGATTTATATCCGAACCTCGACGCCTTGCAGAAAGAAGGCAGATGTGCCGTGTAATTGTGTCTTACCCATGGTCTTCAGGAGTCACTCTCGGTGCCGCTCAGGCAATCGACCGTTGACTTCATACACACGCGCATTATACTCTGTATTCACAACAGTAATATCGCACACGCACATAGTAAGGATACAATCGCCTATCCGTACGCTCACTAGGCTGCACCCCGACCTGCCCGATTGATTCATTCGACCGACCGCTCTTGACAGCGCTTATGACGTTGGCTAGAGCCCAGCCTCCGATCTGATCTGATCTTGAGGCTTGTTGGTATTACAATGTTCATGACCTCACTCGAGCTTCCCTTCTTTACTCCTTCATTCTTCCATACATACTCGCCCTTTCTGCTCGTCTTTTGACTTTGAGCCTTAGCTCGCTTTTTCACACTATATTTAGTCACGGCGAGAGATCAGTCAGGGGTCCACAAGACAAATCGTCGGTCAACGACCAACGGGTCGCCAGTGGCACACAAGAGGCGGGCAATGGAGAGACATTCGAGGTATGTTGTACGTGGGATGCACGAGCACTTACATGCAAAGGGGCAACACTATGAGCGGCCCACTTCGTACATGTACTTCTCGCACCACAGGTCCTACTCGAGGGCGAGTAGCAAGCAGAACAAGCACGACACGCACACACGAGATTCTCACAGGCTACAGACGGGTTCTTGTTAGCAACGACAACGGGGGTGAGGTGGAAACGACGCTAGCAGGCTAACAGACTAGCATGCTTGCGAATGGGCCATGATCGCTTCTCGCGGCGATGCGGCGGCGGCGTTGCGGCCCCTACAACTTTCCGGCGCCCCTGCCGATGAGATATGATGTACTTGCATGCTAGCAAAGTAGCAGGAGGCTTGAGTATGCGAGACGAGATCAAGTTCGTAAAGCCACTGATGCGGCATATCAGGTCCAACCAAGCCAGCACAAGTACAAGTATAAACGAATCCAGAGGACGCATGCAGATACTGCTGCGGTGCGGCTCTCAGCTTGTATCATACGACGGGCACCTTTGACATACAAAGAGCTGGCTTGAATTGCGGTGAGATGATGCAGGCGTCTCTGGCGGGGGAAGGCCAACGGGAAGCTCCAGGTAATTTACCGTACTCCGCATCGTAACCTATTCGTACGGATAGAAGCTCATGCTTTGGAAATGAAGGGTAGTTTTCCCGTCAGCAACCATCGAAACAAGCCAGGACCCGCCAGCATAATGAACAAGGAGACGCCCCGTCGCAAGCAATTTGCTTCTGACTGCGAATACTCTTTGCTATGCAACGCACAAACTCCATTTGGTTGACAGACACTTCAGCCCTGTGGTGCAGGCTATTTAAGTGTATTCGAGAACAAATGGGGCCGCTGGAGCAAAGCATGAAGTTGTTGCACAGCGGGAGTGCGGATACCCCGAGCACCACGATTTTTTGCAGCTCATGTTGCTTTTCCATTCCATTTACGCATTGATCTCGAGATTTGCCAGGGAGCACTCAATTACCATGGTTGATGCGCCCATGCCCGTGGCCCTGGGCTGCTCTGCTGGGCTTTTGCAAAACTCGAACAAGCCTGTTCACAGACGATGCATCCAAGTACCACACCAGGTCATCGCTCAATTTCTCGATGCTGAAGTAAGCACACTGGGTCAAGGTTGGTCAGAATATCAGATCATGTCCGGCTGGATCTTGAGCGGCATCGAACAAGATTGCAGGACAACGGCAAAGGTGGAGTGTGGACGAGAAGTTGAATAAACGACCGGCGTTCCGTTTTCGAGTACAGTCAGTATTCCAGCCGGATATCTACCGTGTCCTTCCTTGACCAAGCCGCCGCAGCCGTTGCTTCTCATTCGCTACTCTTATCATTGCTGGCCATCATAGGCATCAGCACCGTTGTTGGCGTCTGTGCCTGGCAGGAAGCTTCACATAGGTCAAAGACAATTACCAAGACGCTTCGCAGGCAATGACCTTGGCCGAGAATGTTTGGAAGGCAGTAGGAGCCAACGGCTCGCACCTACTGCAGGCGCGAGGCAAAACCCAGGCCAGGTGACGGGTGATTGATCAAGGTTGACTCGATCATCTCGACAGAAACGAGCCACTGTCTGCTTGAAACGACAGTCTCAACCGCCGATGCTTCAACGCGTATTGCATGTATTTTCCATGTTGACAGGTGCTTCCTTGCCAGGAAAATTTACTTGGGCATGGAAACGCTTGCGGTCACCACTGCCACCTAGAGCTTGGAGGAAGGGGATTCCTATTGTCTCGACCTGCAGAGCTGGACGACAGAGTTCAGACATGCATGGCTTTGGCAGTTGTCTCGCTCGTCCGCTCTTGCGAGTTTGGCGTGCCAAAGGCTCAAGCTGTCCGTCAGGTTCCCATCATCCTCTACAGACTTTCGGCAGCTTCCAGCTCAATCTTCTCCACGAGTCCAGGGCTACATTAATCAGAATTGAGATGTTACTTTCAGCTTGTCTATCTGGAGCAAAGCCTCCGCGGGAATTATGAAAGATTTCCGACTACACCCCGGTCCCTGTCCCCGACATCTCATGGGCAGACTTCCTGGATCCCAGTCGCCAAATCTTTTCTCCTTTCGCGGCCTTGCCAAACCTGAACTTTCTCTGTGTTGTTAGACCCGATCATGACGCTACCTTGAGGCTGCGCACCGGCATAGAAACAAGCTCACCTGCAGCCTGCACTGACAGAAACCCCATCCGCAATGCGAGTCTATCTCTGCTCATATGGGCTGATTGAAGGACTTGAAGGGCCATCAATCAAATCGACTAGTCATTCCATCGAACAAAACATCTCGATGTATACATTCACTATCAAGCCCAAGGGTACGGAGCACTCGCCGTCCTCTCCCGCGAGTATGACCCGATCTGGCAGGACATCACCGAACGGGGCCGCCGCAACCCCTCGGAACCTCAGCACTCGATGACGCGGGCATATCGGTCTTCGGCACCGTATCAGACCAGTCAAGCCGGGTCACATCTACAGAGATGGCATTGCTTAGCAATTCCATGTGCAGAGTCGCAAGCCTGTGCGAGTTAGCTCGAGCCTTGAATATGCTAACCTCCGATCTGATGCTTGTCAAGAGACTTTATCACACTGAACAACAGCGGCGGCGACAAATATGGCACCTGCTTTGCTGCTCGGTGAGCCGTGTCTCGGCACTGAGTATCATGTCCGGCGGGAGGTCATGGAGGGCTCTACTCCGTACACTATCCGTCCGCTCGATGTCGTGCCGAAGCAGAGTGCGTGCGATGAGCTTCCACGGACCACATGTCCCACCCTTCTCCCTCATCAATCGGGTGTCTGGGCTCGCGATGCCCTTTTAGCAACTTCCTTGCCCCTAGGGCCGAGTTCTTCTCGAATTATTCGGTTGGGAGGAGGCGCGCTCAACGTCTGGACTAGCCCATGCGGGTATCGAGCCCATGGGTCTTTTCTTTTGTCGGCTGTTTCAATCTCACCTGGCCCCCAAGCTTCAGCCCAGCACGGTTTGCAATACCTATTGATGAGCGGTCCATCCGTCGAAGGGCTGAGACGGTGATGCCTTATTCGACAATCGCGCGCCCACCGCGTCCGTTCCACCCGCCATCGGCAATGACAACAAGCACAGAGGCGCGACCGGCTGCATGAGAGGGCTTCCTTTTTCCTCATCTCGGTCAACTGGGATGGCTTCAATCCATCATTTCTTCTGATGCAGTGCGGGGGAGCAATAGCGAGCCATTATTGGTTCAGCCTGGATCCCGTCCGCTGCAACGCTGCAGCTTCACATGCGCTTATCCTGCTGCGCGCTCTCAGGCCTTGCGGGGAATCGACCACACCAACGCGCGCGACCCTTTTTTTTATTTTTTATTTTTTTTAAGAGCAGCAACGCGATTCGGAGGAAATGTGCTCTCTCGAGATTCAAACAGTCTCGCGGCACGGACCCGTCAAGCCTGTGTTAATTTGCACGATAGTGGCCCTGGATCGCTGGATCTGACTGATGGATCTGGCAGCACAACGCAATACGATGTCCTATCGACGCAAGGACGGCGAGCTCTTCCCAACAGTCAGTGTCAGTATGTGAGAGCAGGGCAGCCCATCTCAGTCTTCTAACTGGATCAACCTTGCACACTGCAGGAGGAACAACGACACGACGCCTCCTCCAAGGCCAAATCCATGATCTCTGCGGATGTCCTGGCAGCATCGCTGAAGATCAGACGCATTCTGTGGAGATTGTCCTATCATGATCTTCTTGGCCTCGGACCGACTTGGTAGTGATCGCTTTGGGGTTGGATAGCAGCCATCAACAGCGTTCTGAGGGGTTTGCTGCTTGGCTGCCAGTTGTGACCCTGCCAACACACTGCACACGCACACACGTAACAAATGAGCAGTGAGATATTCGGGGTCTGATCCGTGAAAGTCGCCATGGCGTATCCTCGATGGCCTATACTACAACTACTGCTATGCAAAACAGCCCGAGATTCCAAGTTTGCACCCTTGTTTCGCAATGGTCTGCAAAGATGAAATCGCAGGCGGTCTCTCAGAACGTAGCAGAAAGCAGAAGCCTCTGCTTCAGAAATCTCGAACATGGGGTGTTTGGCCAACGTTTTCCCCATGGCGGGAAGTGGAAATTATCGAGAGTTTTCGCCGATTGCCTCACCAGTTGCGCGGCCCCCCGTTTTCGCCCACAGACTGGCGCAAGCAAGCCACGAACGACAGTGCCAGATCAGGAGGCCCGCTCTCGGTCATGGAGCGAAACAAGTGGCTCTCGGGAGTCGAAGGACTCACTTACAGTCTTGCACAGCATCTTCTGTCGCCCCACGATCAAGGGTTGTGGGTTCCTGGCGTCGTGTTCTAGTCGGCAGCGCGACTATTCACAACGCCATCGCCCGTGGAGTCTAGCGGCAGAATGACGGGCGCCGATCATTTTACCAGAGACAGACCGTCTCTATCTCGTTGTCCGTTCTGGCGGGCCCTGTGCGACAACCGCGACGAATCGCAGCGCCAATTGATCGTGAAAGGGCAACGCAAGTACTTCGATCACGTTCTAGCTGCAGCAGACGGCGCACCACGAGCGCTGCAAGCGATGCAGACGATGCAGGTCAAAAGGCAATGGCGCGAAGCACTCCCGATGAGGCCATACTGGCCGACCCATCGGTGATATCTTGCAGGACCCATTCTCCTCCAGCCGTGGGTACAATCCCAGGGCCCGAAGGGGCTTGCGAATGGCGTGGCCAAGACCGGGCATGACCCCGAGTTTGTCCACTGGAGTCTGACGGGGACGCCCCATCCTGGATGATGGACCACGCATCAGTTGCGGTGAGATGAAGGGAACCAAACCTCCATCCCCGCACTCATCAATTCCATGCCACGGATCACTCCCATCTAATTAGTGTATCCTGCCGAGGCCGGGAGGCCAAGACGTCTTCCGCGAGCGATTAGCGAGGTTCAGTAACCAACTATGTGCCGGTTTAAGCCACAGTCATCGGAGAAATGATCAAACGTGATGCCAATTAAATCATTTCAATAAATCGTCAGGCCCAGGTTAGTCGGCCGCTCGCTCTAGCCACTGCCATGAGTTGGCCCCCAATAGCACAGCACCTCGAGGCGGCCAGATTCCTCAAAGAGACCAAGAAGACAGGTATCCCAGTCCAATGGCCCGCCGTTCTAGGCAGTCCCAACTTCACCGAACCCACTGGATATAGCTCATAGCCTCCTGCTCGGTTCCAACTTGGAAGTCCTCATCTTTATCCATGCGAACGGAAGCCATTCCTGGACATGTGGAGCCTTAAGAGGTGAGTTATTCCCCGCTTATGGCCGTCAACTGACCATTGGTGAGAGAGACGACACTATGGCTGTACCGACCGCTTCCACTACCGAGGCGACCTTCCTGGCCGAGATACCAAACGAGACTCGACAAAGGCATTCACTTCGCAGCGTGACTCTGCAGATGGGGCATTGCCGCTGGTTCTTCTCTTGAAGTTTGTATCTGTATCCGTACCCATCCCTGTTTTCGGGGCCTTGATGTTCACACCGGCACCATCACTCGTCCGAGCCAAGCCGGGTAGTGGCTGTCATACTCCAGACGGCCGCGAAGGACGGGCCCTTCGGTCCACTCCCGTACGCGGTCACCTGCAGTGATATAGCATGCATGCCGTGCAACAGTATCAACAGTACCGAGGGGTTTTCTACAATATTGAGCGGAGTAACCGGTCGTTCAACGTCGGGCCCGGCGCGGAACCTGCTGCGGGAGACTGACACGCTCTCCTCTCAGCTCTCTCCGAGAGTAGTCCACGGAAACCAACAGGCATTGTGGCAAGTTCCGCTGAACTCTTCCCTACTTGTGGTAAAGAGAGGGGGAGGACATGTGCCACCGCCCGACCCAATGGACGGGATGCGGCGTCGCACACGGCACGCGGGACGCTGTGCGATGGATGAGGAAAGTTTTACTCTAGGTATTTCTCCCTTAGCTTGCCGATGTTGTGCGAGATTCCACGCGATCTCTCCCGAGCGTTGGGCTGTTTGGTCCGGGTCTCCGAAAGAGATCGCGTCGTCTGATGGGTGGGCATGCGAGTGGGTTGCACGACTATCGGTCATCTGGCCTCCGAGATATCTCCACCATCGGGCCCGAGGCCGTGGTGTGTCTCCGGTCCAATCGGGGTAGGCGGACTAGCTGCATGTAGGAGTCTCCCGCGGATGGCACAGATAGCAAGAGTGTCTCCTTCGTAAGTACATCATTCACATCGTGTTGCCAATGCGTCGAAAGCGTAGTAGCTAGATATTGGTTGATTTGCTAGTCAACCAGTGTCCCTTGCCATGTTGACCTTGCGACAACTCTGGGCTTGTGGCATACCAGCCAAGTGGGCAGCATCGGGTTCTTGACCAAACTCCTTTATTCGTCCCGTTTCACGGTTGACGTATTCTTAACGCTGTTTCTAAAAAGCGTTGTACATGCTGTGCGCCTCTGCGATATGGCCATGATGCTCAAAGTCGCGACTGTCTTCCAACGTCAGCTCCCTGACCTACCTACCTACTCTTTTCGCCTTGGTATCAGACGCCTCCGGGAGAAACTTACTGTCTCTCGCGGTGCGATAGCTGTCGGATACGGCTTCAAGATTGAAAGAAAAATGAAAAAGACGCGAAAGAAACGGGAGCAAGTTGACGTCTAGTAGAAGTCAAACAAATATACCGGCGATGGCTGAGTGTAGTAACTCTTTCCCGCGCTGCAGGGTGTTCTCGTGTTTCTTTTGAAGTACTTTTTAGTTCACTTGTTCTCCTACAGCTAGCCGATGACAGAACGAGATTGATATAGCTGTTTAGATACTCTTCCTCATGTGAGATTTCTCGTTCCTTTACTGTCCTAGGGGGGTCAACTCACCCCGAATGGTATACAGCTTCAACAGAAAACCATAAGAAAACCATAGGCGACGATAAACAAGTACACGTAGCATAGTAGCACTCACGAATGATATTCCATAGTCGGTCGTACGTTTCTGTGATTTGATTTTAGCAAAACGATCAACACGCATGTGAGGAAGGGGGTCCCATCTTGTTGTTAGTGTAGGGTGCTAAAGGTGAACCGTGAACATTTGATATCGGGGGATAAGACCACTTCGATTATTACGTGGAGCGTGTTCTTTATCTTCGGGCTGGATGACTGAAATCCACCATTAGCTCCGCGGTCTCGTACTTGGTGCGTGAAGATGGTCTCATGAGGCAGGTGGCGTCCGGACGGATACATCCACTTACTTGCGGGTGTGTATCCCATCTGATAAACTATTCTCTGCCGCACCTGAATATACAACAGCAAACCTTCATATACCCCTCCGAGTCCATTTCTGTCACCAGCACAGCAGACGCCCTCTAGGTCGGGGTCCAGGTCAAACTGTGGCGTGGGTGGTGGAATGGTTCATGGTCAACAATCAAAATTTCCGCCCACACAGCCTATTCGACGACAGGCTACGAGTTCGAGTCCGCGTTTCCCAGTTTGTGCACCAAGAGATGTAGCCCCCAAATCGGCACCGGGAGGGTGAACTCTTTTGCTTTTTGTTTTGATTGCCATTGGAGGCTCAGACCCTCATAGATCTAATGCCGGATGACTCCGAACTTACTAGACCTACGATATAGAAAGATAGAAGGACCTGGATACGGGTGTGGTGCCGGCTTCTCGTTGCTGTACAATCCACATATTCTACTTTGGCAGGTGATTTCCCTTGAGCGCTGGATCTCGCTCAGGCATTTTCGCCGAAAGCCAGTGAAGCCGGAAGGAACGAGACCCCCGCATAGAACGATGCGGTGATCACCTCCATCGCCGAGTATCTTGATGAGGCAACCTGGTACAAACTTCCGCCATTTTTCTCGAGTACCTGAGTGTTCGGTGGCCATGTTTCGTTTCCTGGGATGCGTTTTGTGATTGAAGGTTGGAGATGAATGTCTAGTGACCTAGGCAGGAGGATTTTGTCCGGTACCAGTGCGCTTGATGAACGATAGTGGGAAAGATATGGTCTCTAGCGAGCCAGGAGACGAAGGCAGGGGTATGTTCTGGCTTTGCTACTTTGAGCTCCATTACAGGGCTGTATCTTGTTTTCTAAAAACACCATCTTTTCCTCGGTGATTGGCACTCTGATATCAGTGAAAGGGGTGGCTGGTGAACCCCGTTCGGGCACGCGGTCGTATAGACTGTAGGGCTTCTCAATTCAAGAGAAAGCATTGGAATTCAAGAGGCTAAACTATGGAGCATGATAGAACGGGAAGATGGAACGCAATTTGTTCTTCTACCTTCTGCATCAGCAAGGGTTCGTGGAAAACAGTGAATCTCGGAGGGATCTGGCTGAACGTATTGTTGTGAGCCTCATGTCGCAGTCCGTGACAAGGTAAACTGGGACGCGGGTTTTTACTTGTAAGCTCGTTCAGAGTGCATATAGCATGATCGCGGATAAGTGGCCGAGCCTTGCGGATGATTGCTTGCGGCAAATGTTTGTGGATTGGCGGGTAGGCGGGTGTCCGATGGGATAAGTTTGCTCGACTATTTGGTGACATCGTGTACGGGGGTATGGAGTGTAGGCCTTGAAGGTGGTATATGCATCTGAAACTGCTCTGGCCGAAGAGAGTTGTTTTGGGGTATGAATATATCTCATCCGCGAGGAGAGTCTGTTGGATGATGCTAGGTTCGATCGACTGGTATTGATTTCCAGTAATTAGTAGGAAGATGTATCTCATCGTTACAAGAGTCATTTGTAAGTCGTGCTTTCCGACGTGCGAAAGTCTTAGAATAACACGCTGACCGTCGACTTAAGCCTTATTGTGTCCCATATCAACCATGGCGGGACACGAGGATTCGACTCTACAGCGGCCGGAGAAGCGCCCCAAGAACTAGACGCATGTTGTCCCCAAGTAGGCCTCCAGAATTCTTCGGCACATGCCACGGTTCGAACTTGCTGAAATTTCGCTCCTAAACGATACGGATACGATGCCATTGACGGGCGGCGGTGAGTAACTCGGCAATTGAAGATAACGTAAAGTGGTATATGTGAGGCGGCTTTGAAGAGCAGCCGTTTTGTTGCTTTGATTGGATGCCGGTACCAAGCCGCAGTGTTCACTGAAGCTTCAAGTACCTCGTAGTAATGCAAGTGGGAAAAAAACCATACCCAAGGCTGCAAATAGGAGCTTGATAGCAACCTGGGTAAGTGGGTTGATAGGCGGGCATAGCTATCTCTCTCAGGAGCAGCTCAGCCTGTCCATGTAAGCCTCCAAGAGTCATCAGTTCTCGATCGGAAGGCCAAAGATTTCGCAAATCTTCCTCCTGAAAGTGGACTTTTTCTTCAATGTGATCTACTGGCTGTATGTTGACAAGTGAAG